TTTTTTTAATTATATTTTTCCATTACTCAACAATTTACATAAAAATAAAATAAAAATCAAGAAAAAAAATGTCAACGCAGTTAAGCCGACATTCAACATCGGTCAACAGCGGGGAAAAAAGATCAATCAACAAAAGAGTCAACCGAGTTAAAAAAAAAGTCAACGTCGGATTACCCAATTTTAAAAAATCGGGGCCATTGGTTAATTGATGAAATAGGGGTTAAATTATGGTTGGATAAAATTTTAGAGGTTTTTAGAATATTTTGAAAGAATACATGGGTCTTATTGCAATTTTCTCAAAGAAAAACCCCAAATTCAACCGTTGACCGTTACTACTTAACGGTCAAACAGACGGAGGGACTAAATGTGTTAAAATGTGACAACATTAGTGTGTATTTTGTTGACGGCGGTAAATGGGGGACCAAAAGTGAAAACGTGCAAACTTTGGGGACCAAAACTGTAATTATCCCTTCAATGTTCAATGACTATTCGAATTATATATGTGTCAGTTCTTTGTTTAAGGAAGCCTATAATTTGTTCAATGAATTTAAGAGGATGTTTGTAACGTTATCTAATTTGTTCAAGAAATTAAATTAATTACTAACCAATGTTACGAAATTGACCTGAAGTCTTATGATCCTAAGGGGTAGTTTTGAACACACATAAAATAGAAGAAACTCTCCTAAGATTCACACTTTTATAAGATGTATAGATAACTTCCTACATAAGATGATAGACTGAATTATGCTGTGTATTGAGTCTGTATCTTTCTCCTAACCATTAACGGCCAAACCTCGAAATCTTGGAATCCTCAACGGGGTATTCGACAAGGAGACCCGATCCCCTATATTTTTATTCTTTGTCTAAATTTCCTTAGTTTAAAATTTATCGAAGGCCAATAAACGGGTCAATTTGATGATATTCAGTCTAGCAAAAAAGTTCCAAATATCCCCATTCTCTGCTTCGCGGATGATTGCATCATTTTCTCCAAAGCTAATGATAAGTCGATCGATTTTATACAAAACACATAGCACGAATTCGCCTTCGAATCAGGTTTGGATATTTCATTGCAAAAATCAAATTTTTTTTCTCAAAAAATACGATATATATTATTAAACGGGAAATATGCAAAAAAACTCAACATAAAATGAGGTAGTATAGGAGAAAAATACCTTGACCTTCTGTTGGTTATGAACGATATCACAAAAAACTCTTTTTATGATATCGTTATAAAAACACAAACAAAATCGCGACTTGGTATAACAAATTCTTGTCCTACGCATGCCGAAGTACGCTTATAAACCACGACCTTAACACACTACCCAATTATACCATGCACACCTTTAAAATTCCGACCATTAACATAAATAAAATTACCTCAATTAAGAAAAGATTCTTGTGGAATGCTAGTCCTCATTCCAATAAAAAAAGTCCCATAAAATGGCATACTTTATGTCAACCAAAAAATCAGGAGGGCTGGGATTCAAGGATGTAAAGGTTCTTAACATGGCGCATACCCTTAAACTTTGATGGAGATTAATGATTGAACCAAACTCCATTTGGGCAAAATTGATAAAAGGAAAATATTATCCATATACTGATATTTTAAATGCTCCTCAACCGAAACCCTATCTTATGGAAAAATATTTACAAAACAATTTCCCTTCTCAAGAAATGTTGTCTATGGATCATTGGAGATGGAAAAAGAAAATTTGATTTGACAACTGGGTTAACAACTTTACGGTCGCGGAATATACCAACGAAATACCCCGGGATCTCCATCAGATGAAAGTCTCACAACTAATTGATACCCAAAACAACACATGGAATCTAACAGTTGTTGCGAATATTCTACCTCCTTCTATCATCAACAAAATCTATCTCCTACCTATCCCTTTTTATAAATGAAATGATTCTATTAGATGGGCCCACAACATGCATGGATCTTTTACCCTGAAAAGTGCATATCTATGGATCGTGAATTCTCTCAATCCATGGACTGAACCCTCACTGCCTTGGAAATGCATTTGGGATCTTAACACCCCCAATCAAATTAAATTCTTCGCTTGGCAATTGGCGCATTCTACCAAATCTCTACTTCCTTTCTAAGCGAAAAAACGGAATCACACTTATGCCCTCTTTGCAAAGAATTTCCAGAAACCAACTCACACCTATTCCTGCAATGTACGACATTCAAATTCATTATTAACAGACTTCCTATAGGGATTTTTAATGGTGATACTAATTTCTGCATTTTGCTTAACCAAACCAACAAAAACCCTTCCAAACAAAGCTTTCTAGCAACAATCTTCTGGTTAATGTGGAAGGCTAGAAACAACTTCATCTTTAGCAAAACTAACATAAATCAATACGCTATATGGACGAATGTCAAGCAATATATTAACATATCTGACAAGAAAATAATGAATCCCCAAATCCTTACCCTTAAATGGAGTACTCCACCAAAAGGCTGGTTCAAATTGATTATTGATGGATCAGCACTGTCGAATCCGGGGATTGCAGGAATTGGAGGTGTCATTTGTGACCACTTGCAGAAATTCTTTTGTGCTTTATCAAAAAACATTGGGATTGCGTCTAATAATAAAGCGTAAGCATGGGCTCTTTGCATGGGATTCAAAATAGCAGCTGACATTGATATAAATAAATTCATTATTGAAACTGATTCAATATTTCTTATCTCTTTTGTTAACAGGAAGGATGCCCTTCACAACTCCCTCCAGACTCTTCTCGAGGACTCATGGAAGATATTGACTAGGTTTGATCAAGTTCAGATAACGTTCTCATACAGGGAGTTGAATAGTGCGACGGATATTTTGGCTAAAAAAGGAACTATTATGCAACCGAACGAACTTATTTTTTTTGAAACTTGCTCTGATTTTATTCAGGAAATTTTGTATAATGATATATATATATATATATATATATATATATATATATATATATATATATATATATATATATATATATATATATATATATATCATGTTTTGTTGTTAAAAAAAAAACACTTTACCCTAAAACTATGTGAGCCCAAAAAATTATAGCTCCAACCTTGATGAAAAGATTGTAAATCCAAAAAGTTAATCTAAAAAGCAAGGCGAGAAAAAGATGGGTCGTACCTGTTCAGTTGAAGCTGGGAGAGAAAGATATTACTCAAAGAAGTTTGCAAAAGTATACGATGTAAATTGAAGAAGAGAAAATGATGTAAAAAGATTTTAGTTTATAATCGAATAGGACTATGGAGAGAAATGTTTTTACTAAAACACAAAATCAAATTTATTGATCAATTCTGTTAGATGGGCCCACGACATGCATGGATCTTTTACACTAAAAAGTGCATATCTATGGGTCATGAACTCTCTCAATCCATGGACTGAACCCTCACTGCCTTGGAAATGCATTTGGGATCTTAACACCCCCAATCAAATTAAATTCTTCGCTTGGCAATTGGCGCATAACTGTCTACCAAATCTCTACTTCCTTTCTAAGAGAAAAAACGGAATCTCACTTATGCCCTCTTTGCAAAGAATTTCCAGAAACCAACTCACACCTATTCCTGCAATGTACGGCATTCAAATTCATTATTAACAGACTTCCTATATGGATTGTTAATGGTGATACTAATTTCTGCATTTTACTTAACCAAACCAACAAAAATCCTTCCAAACCAAGCTTTCTAGCAACAATCTTCTCGTTAATGTGGAAGGCTAGAAACAACTTCATCTTTAGAAAAATTAACATAAATCAATACGCTATATGGACGAATGTCAGCCAATATATTAACATAATGACAAGAAAATAATGAATCCCCAAACCCTAACCCTTAAATGGAGTACTCCACCAAAATGCTGGTTCAAATTGATTATTGATGGATAGACACTGTCAAATCCGGGGATTACAGGAATTGGAGGTGTCATTCGTGACTACTTGCGCAAATTCGTTTGTGTTTTTTCAAAAAACATTGGGTTTGCGTCTAATAATAAAGCGGAAGCATGGACTCTTTGCATGGGATTCAAAATAGCAGATGACATTGATATAAATAAATTCATTATTGAAACTAATTCAATATTTCTTATCCAGGGCCGGCCCTGGGCCGGTGCAAACTGGGCAACCGCCCAGGGCCCATTAGTGCTAGGGGGCCCAAATTTTTATGTAATTTTCCTATATATCTATTTATATATACGTATAAATATTTATATTTATTTATATTTTTTCCCTAAATTTCTCAACCACATTAAACGGCTGCAACCCCAAACATACAATAACTCTTAATCTTCTGCCCATAAATCTCTCCAACTAAATCCATAAATCTCTCCATATATCTCTTTAATTTTGTTCAATTCCAACGTGCATCTTTTAAATTACCGATATTTTTGCACCCATTTGTCAATTTAAATGAACTCAATTTCAATTTTTACTCACTTATTTTTTATCGTTTTAGCTAAACTTTTCTCCATCTTCTCTGATTTTCTCCCGTTCCAAGCCATTCTCAAGTTTTCCACATCTTTCTCAAAATCGAGATCTTTGAAATTGGGTGACTGTAATATTGATTTTATATTATTTATTTTCAAACCCATGGAGATTATTCTGTGTGTTCAAAGTGCTCAATTCTAAAGCTTGTGTAAATTGTGATTTCATCAATCAATTGGGGAAAGGTAACCAATACCCTCACTGTTTTTATTAATAAAATACACTACTTAATTTATATTTTCTTTTGTTCTTAATATCATTTATGTAATTTTGATTATTTGTTGTATTTTGCAGATTAACATATTCAACAATTGAAAGTGTAAGAAGTTGACTATCACAATTCACTGGTTAAATACAAGAAGGCTGCGTACATCAGGTTTTATTGTTCTTTTATTTTTTTATTAATATTTTTTTGGTGGTGTCTTTTTTTCATCTTTCTTTCTGTGTGCTTTTTTTTTTCTGTGTGCTTCTTTTGATTGAGTTGTACTGTTTAATTTACTTCTATAAGCATGAAACAATTATCTGGAGCTCAAAAAAAGCAAAGAAAAAAAAAACAAGAAAAGATTGCCAAAAGCTTAGAGTATTCTTTGAACAGATATTTTGGTCCTGCAAATTTAGTTCGTGGTCAACAAAATAATTTTGATGCAAATGAAGAATTATTAAATAATGAAGATGCCATAAATGTTGAATTTGTAGAAAATGAAAATGTTGTGAATGTTGAATTTGTTGAAAATGAGAATGCTGTGAATGCGGAATTAGTAGAAAATGAGAATGATGTGAATGAAAATGAAGAAAATAAACATATTGATGAGAATGATGGGAATGAAAATGACCATTTGAAAACAAGCTATGTGTTAGACATTTTTGACCCAATAGTTTGGGATGGTTTGGATACAAAAATGAAAGATTTACTTGTTGAAAAGGGTCCCAAAAAAGAATACGATCTCAAGTTTCCTTTGGATAAAGAATCTAGACATTTTTCATATACATATTATGTGCAGATGCTACCAAACGGTGAAACTCGGGATAGAAAATGGTTGGTTTACTCAAAGGAGTTAGATAAAGTATTTTGTTTTTGTTGCAAGTTGTTCAAAGTAATGCACACTAGAAGTAATTTAGCAAGCGAGGGGGTTAACGATTGGAAACATTTGGGTGATAAGTTGAAACAACATGAACATAGTGTTGAACACCTTACTAATTTGAGAGCTTGTGTTGAATTAGAAATGCGATTAAATAAAAATAAGACAATTGATAAAGATTTGCAAGAACAGATTAGAAAAGACACAAAACATTGGAAACATGTAATGTTGAGAATAATTGCCGTTGTTAAATGTCTTGCTACACATAATTTGGCATTTCGTGGTACACATGAAAAAATTTATGAAGATAGTAATGGTAATTTTTTAGGCATGCTTGAAATGATTGCGGATTTTGATCCAATAATGCAAGAGCATTTTCGCCTAATTCGTAATAAAAAGATACATTATCACTATCTCAGTCATAAAATTCAAGATGAGTTGATATCTATCTTATCTTCTAAGGTGAAAACTGCAATAATTAGAAAGATCAAAGAAGCAAAGTATTTTTCAGTGATTCTTGATTGTACACCAGATGCAAGTCATAAAGAACAAATGACTCTGATATTGAGATGCGTAGTTGTCTCATCTTCTCCAATTACAATAGAAGAGTACTTTTTAGAATTTTTAAATGTTGACGATACAACGGGATTAGGACTTTTTAATGAATTACAAGTTGTCTTACAATCTTTAGGACTTGATATTGATAATGTGAGGGGGCAAGGGTACGATAATGGATCTAATATGAAAGGTAAAAATCAAGGTGTGCAAAGAAGATTGCTTGATATTAATCCTAGAGCATTTTACATGCCATGTGGTTCTCATTGTCTTAATTTAGTTATTTGTGATATGGCAAATTCTTGTACTCGAGCAAAATCATTTTTTGGAGCATGTCAATGTATATATAATGTGTTTGCTAATTCAACAAAGAGATGGAATGTTTTGCTTGATTATATTGATAAATTAACTTTGAAATCATTGTCCATGACAAGATGGGAAAGTCATATTGAATCTGTTAAGGCAATATTGTCCCAAGTCTCCCAAATAAGAGAAGCTTTATTTAAATTAGCAGAAATTAGTGAAGATGCGAAATTAAGTAGGGATGCTTACACTTTGGCCTCCGGTGAACTTTCAAGTTTTGAGTTTATTTTGAGCTTGGTTATTTGGCATGATATATTGCATAAAATTAATTTAGTTAGCAAAAAGTTACAATCCGAGGATATGCGTCTTGATATTGCTATAAAACAATTAACTGGGCTTGTTTCTTTTTTTGAAATGTATAGAGAAAATGGATTTTCTTCTGCTATGATTGACGCTAAAAAAATAGCATCTCAAATGGAAATTGAACCAATTTTTTTCGAGAAACGTAGAATTGCTAGAAAGAGACATTTTGATGAGATTTCTAATACCGAAAGGGAAAATCAATCTGCGGAAGAATCTTTTAGAATTGATTATTTTCTTCTAGTAGTGGATATTGCTATTGGTCAATTGAGAAGCAGGTTTGAACAAATGCAGTGTTTTGAATCAATATTTGGTTTTTTATTTGATGTTGCAAAGTTGATTTCATTGGATGGTAATGAGTTGATGAGTTCTTGTGTGAATCTTGAAAATGCTTTAAGACATGGTGAGAGTTCCGATATTGATGCAAAATATTTATGCTCTGAACTAGAGGTGTTGCAAGTGATGTTACCGAATGAAGCATGTGATGCAAATAAGCCATGGACATCTTTTCAAATTTTAGAGTTTGTAAAAACAATTGATATGTTTCCAAATGCGATGATTGCTTATAGAATTTTGTTGACAATACCCGTCACTGTGGCATCAGCAGAGAGAAGCTTTTCAAAATTAAAATTATTAAAAAATTATTTACGGACGACAATGTCTCAAGAAAGGTTGAATGGGTTAGCACTTTTAACTATTGAAAAAGATATGTTGGAAAATATTGAGTACGACGATATCATTGATGACTTTGCCTCTAAAAGTGCAACTCGAAAACATTTTCAATGAATTATTTCACTTATTTTGTTTGATATGCAGGTGTTTAGCTATACCATGAGGTGATAATTTCTTTGAAAGCTGATGATGGAAGATTGGGAGAAAAAACATTTTTTTGCTGGGATGGAAGTTCAAACATTTTTTTATTTCATGGTGTTGTGTTAAAATTGAAATGTTATGACAATTTCTTTTTAATATGTGGGTTTTTTCTACTGTTGAATATTTTTAAACAGCATTTTATTGATATTTAAATTTCTTTTTTTTATAATTTATTATTATTTTATAAAAAGATTTATAGAAAAATAAAATCGAGGGCACAATTTATCTTTTTCGCCCCGGGCATTAAAAAGGTCAGGGCCGGCCCTGTTCTTATCCCTTGTGTTGACAGGAAGGAGGCCCTTCACAACTCCCTCCTGACTCTTCTCGAGGACTCATGGAAGATATTGACTACGTTTGATCAAGTTCAGATAACGTTCTCATACAGGGAGTTGAATAGTGCGACGGATATTTTGGCTAAAAAAAGAACTACTATGCAACCGAACGAACTTATGTTTTTTGAAACTTGATCTCATTTTATTCAGGAAATTTTGTATAATGATATATCCTCCGTGTTTTCCCGTTGTACTACAAATCCCTGTAACCGTACATTGGTTTTGACTGTATAATATATATATATATATATATATATATATATATCATGTTTTGTTGTTCACAAAAAAAACAACAATTTACCCTACAACTATGTGAGCCCAAAAATTATTGCTCCAACCTTAATGAAAATATTTTAAATCCAAAACGTTAATCTAAAAAGCAATGCGAGAAAAAGATGGGTCGTACCTGTTTAGTTGAAGCTGGGAGAGAAAGATATTACTCAAAGAAGTTTGCAAAAGTATAGGATGTAAATTGAAGAAGAGAAAATGATGTAAAAATATTTTAGTTTTTAATCGAAAAAGACTATGGAGAGAAGCGTTTTTACTAAAACACAAAATCAAATTTATTGATCAATTCTGTATACTTTTGTTTTTTTTATAAGTCATTAATATTTAATAGGGCTTATTTTATATACACATCTGGGTACCAAATAAATTAGAGATAAAACCATACCAAAATCATCCTTTGACATACCCCCAGGGAGGCGAAAGTACTATACTACCCTTATATGCAATTTTCGGCCAAACTGCATTCAACATTCCTGGTCCTGCATTTAGCATTTTAGCTAATTTATTTATTATTATTATTAATGTTTTTTACTAACTTATTTTTAGTCGATCAATTATACACACACACACGAATAGTGGCTTATACAAATGAAATTCATAAACCCCAACAACAAAAATTTATAAAATTCAATATTTATATTATAAATAACATCAGAACAATAAAGTACAAATGGAAAATACATAAATATATGCATATGTAACTACATGTTACTATATGTAACTAGTAATGTATGGTATGTATAGTAAGTAATGTATTGTAATGTGTATAGTCTGTTAAACACTGTAACTTGAAGCAGATGTAACTTCAACCAAAATTTTTGACACCTTGAAGGAGAGGATCAATGGCTTTCATTAAGTAATGAAGGAGAGGATCAATGGCTTTCATTAAGTTGCAATTGACAAATCAAAAAAAAAAATATTCTATTGCAAATCAACAAAAAATGAAGAAACATCAAAACATTCAAAAATCAACTAACCCGCCAATGACTCATCGCCACAAGCGCCTCCTACCAAAACCCTAGTCGCCGCTAACCACCCAAGGTTCTATGCTCACAAATGAAAAAAAATTATAGAAATAAATCTGACAATATAAAAATGAACGAAATTGCCATCAAATTATAGATCTTGACGAGAGGAATCCAATGGTGCGTAGCCCGTCAAATTCCGACCGCCGGAACACAAATTACACCTCCGACAAGACCCATCGTCGTCGAAATACCCGCTGACTGTAAAACAATTTCAGAAACAGATCCAACGCTCCTAACTGAATGAAATCACCAACAAAAGAAAGAGATCGACGAGAGGAATCCAACGGTAGTTAAACCATCAAATTCTGACCACCGGAGAGAGTTATGACTCCGGGAAGCAACATCGCTAGTTAGAGACCTTGGGGGGCGAGATTTGGATCTGAGAGTTGAGAGTGGAAGATAGAGACCCATATAGTTGCCTAGGGTTTAAAACTGATTTCAAAGGGTATTCTGGGTACTTTAAAAAGCCGAGGAGGGTGTGCAAATTATTATCCAAATGGAGGGGGTTTGCGCTAGGCTTTAAACAACATGGTGGTTAGTTATATATATTTTCAATATGAGGGGGTTCCAAAATAATCCATATTTAATATTTAATTAACTTCTAGTTTTTTTGGTCGTTATGTAATTGTATTAGTAACCCGTGTTTCGTACTTTTATTAAATAGGGTTCGTACTAATCATATGTGTCAATTTTTATTGGTTGACCTTCAATCGCTTAGGTCCGAGTAGTACAAACCCTCTCGGACCCTAGACAACCCCAAGTAACAAACGTAAGATAAATGGTAAATGGGGATGTTTTGCATTTAATATAAAACTTTCGAATTGAATTTCATAACTTAGTAAATTCTAATTGTGTATCTTAGTTTTGTATATAATATAGACTGATATAATTTGTTGTCGTGGTGAATTATTTTAATTAAAAAATTGAAATAAGTATTGAAGATAAAATTTACTGTGGGTATTATTGTAAACATGTAAAGAGTATACTTAAAATTAATCAGATCAAGAATATGTATATTTTTCAGGGGTGGAAATTGAACGGTATTTTCGAATTCCGCCAATTTGGATTCAAAAATGTCCGAATTTAGATCCCGTTTTTTCATTCCGATTTCCGATATTCCAATTTCCGATTTTTCCGAATATTTTTGGAACGGCATTGGAATTACATATAAAATTATTGAAAATTCCGATTTCCAATCCGATTTTATTTCCGAAATATATATATATATATATATATATATATATATATATATATGTGTGTGTGTGTGTGTGTGTGTGTGTGTGTGTGTGTGTGTGTGCAAGAATTATGTTTGATTTGATAAATTAATTATGTGGTTTTTACAAGTGTTTACATTGTATCTTATTGACGTTTGTATTGAATTCTTGCATTTTGTAGGAAAATTGCGAAAATATTAGGAAAAAAAAGTCTTAAAATTACCATTATTTCCGATTTTGGAACAAAAAATTAATAACTAATGCAATTTTTTAAATTCCGAAATTCCGCCGATTCCGAGGTATTCCGAAATTGGAATGCATTTTGAAATTCGGATTTTTTTGGAACGGAAATTGGAACCTATTTTTAACTTCCGAAAAAATTGGAAAATTTCCGAAAGAGGTATTTCCGATCCATTCCGTCCGATTTCCACCCCTAATATCTTTGCTGTTTTGTTGTGTTTTCTAGAGATAGTTTTTCAGTAGATATTTTATACCTTAATATATCTAAAATAGTACCGAGTCAATAGAAAATAAGATTATAAAAGTTGGGACAAATGATTATAAATTAGGGCTTACTTTACATACACCTTAGCTACCAAATAAATTAAGGATAAACCCAAGCCAAAATCATCCTTTGACATACCCCATGGAGAGGGAAAAGTACTATACTATCCTTATATGCAATTTTCAGCCAAACTGCATTAAGCATTTCTGGTTCTGCATTTAGCATTTTCGGTGATTTATTTATTATTATTATTATTTTTTAAATACACCTGTTTGTTAAATTTATATATATTTATTATTATTATTTATTTTACTTTATTTTTATTTTTTTTTATTTTCTTTAAATTATTTTTAATTGTTTTTCAAATCAATATGTTTAATGTACTGAAAATAACTAAATGTAACTACATCTAACTGTAGTAGACTATAGTAATTCGTAGTTATGATCTTTTTTCTTACCCCATATTTTTAGTCGATCAATTGTATACACACACAAATACCGGCTTATACAAAAGAAATTCATAAACCCCAACAACAAAAATTTACAAATTTCAATATTTTTTTTATTATAAATCACTGCAAAAACAATAAAATACAATCGAAAACACACAAATATATGCATATGTAGCTACATGTTACTATATGTAACTAGTGATGCATAGTAATATATAGTAATGTACACTAATGTATACAATCTGTTGAACATTGTAACTTGACGAAGATGTAACTTCAACCAAATTTTTGACACCTTAAAGGAGATGATCAATGACTTTCATTAAGCTGCAATTTCAAAATCAAAACAAAAGAAAAATATTTTAGTGCAAATCAACAAAAATTAGAGAAACATCAAAAAACTCAAAAATCAACAAACACTAAGAGATCGAGAGATAGAGAGAGAGGCTATAGCTGAAATGCTACAAATTTTAAACCAAACAGCCAGTGACTCCTCACCCCAATCGCCTACTACCAAAACCTTAGCCGCCGCTAATAACCACCCAAGGTTCCTCGTGCACAAATGAAAAAAAAAATTATAAAAATAAATCTGAAAATATAAAAATGAACGAATTACCATCAAAATATAGATCTCGACTAGAGGAATCCAGCTGTGTGTAGCCGGTCAAATTCCGACTGCCGGAACACAAAATACACCTTCGGCTAGACCCACCGTCGTCGAAATATGCGTCGACTGAAAAATAAATGCAGAAACATATCGAATGCTCAAAACTAAATGAAATCACCACAAAAAGAAGGAGCTCGACGAGCGGAATCCAACGGTAGTTAAACCATTGAATTCCGACCACCGGATAGAGAGTTATGACTCCGGGAAGCAACTTCGTCGGTTGGAGATATATGGATGTGAGATTTGAATCTGGGAGTTGACTGAGAAAAAGAGAGACGACTGTGAGTGGCTAGGGTTTAAAACTGATTTTAAAAGGGCATTATAGGTACTTCAAAGTGACTGAGGGGGGTATGTCAAAATATTTTCGAAATTAGGGGGTTTCCCTACAGTGTAATCCGCTTGGTAGTAAGTTTTATATAATTTGGAA